TGTTTATGTCGCCGCTGGTATTGATGAAGTTCTCTCCTCCGCCGCTTTCTGATGACATCAGATCTCTGCCATGTTGGTATCCTATGTGAATGGCAGCATTTCGTTCCCCTTGCCGGGCAACCAAAGCAACGGGTGAGTCCTGACCGGCCCTCAGCAGGACCCGGACCGAGACACAGTTTCCGCGGGCTCCTAGCCCCGGTCCAGGGAAGTTCCGGGAGCTGGAACTCGGCCGCTCCGTGCTCGGTGTAAGCTCCTATAAGAGTAGGCTCCAAGAAGCAGTCCCCGCGGGCTCAGTTCCGGGAGCCGGAATTCGGCCGCTTAGTGCTTGGTGTATGCTCTGATAGGAGCAGGGTCCAAGAAGCAGCCTCCGCAGGCTCCGCAGCCCTGGGCCAGGGCGGTTCCGGGAGCCGGAACTCGGCCGGAACTCGGCCGGCCCGCGCTCGGTGTTCGCTCCGATAAGATCAGGTTCTAAGAAGCACCCAGGCACTGAACCCTAGCAATCTGTCTGCAAGCTGCAGGCGAATGGCAGCCTGAAATTACCTGTTCTATGGCTGAATGAGCTGCGGTCAGTTGAAAACAGGCCCAGACCATTTTTTATTTTTGAGACCGGGTCTCACTAAAATGCTGATTTTACTGGCCTGCCTGGTTGGAACTTTTAGTTTTACAGTGCCAAGTGCAATCAAATACAATATGGTAAAAGCAGAAAAGAGAACAAAATAATAACAATAACAAAATACAGTAACAGAGGTAACCCCATGTGAAAGGTGCATTAGGAAGTCTACATGGAGCGTTCTTGTTAGAAAGAGCCACATACATGAGGTTCAGAGTGTGTTGGGGCATTCAAGGGAGCCACATGATGTATTAGGTAATGGGGTGCCAAAGGGAAAGCCTGCATATTAATTTGGAGATATAGGCAGGAGACAGACCATGATAGATATCTGATCTAAGCACCATCTGAAGAGGAAAGAAAAGGTACAATCATTGTAAAAGATTTTTAAAATGTAAATTTTTAAAAGGCAAGTTACCCCAGGACCATGAACAATAAAGAGCCATCCCCACCGTTAGTTTGAGGGGCTAAAGACAAGACAGTATAATTGGTTGTGGGCTAGATCTAAGGGGGACTGGACAACATGTTGAGCACCAAGAAATATTTGTTAAGTATTGATACTTGGTAAGTAATTTGGTAAGTGATTTTATTTTAAATATTTTTATACATTTGTAAGATGTTTGATTGTCACCAACTTACTGTGGTTTGACTTACGATTTTTTTTTTTTTTTTTTTTTGGTACTGGGGGATTGAACCCAAGGGTGCTTAACCACTGAGCCACATCCCAGCCCCATGTTTATTTTTTATTAGACATAGGGTCTTGCTGATTTGCGAAGTGTCCCACTAGGTTACTGAGACCTGCTTTGAACCCTGGATTCTCTTGCCCCAGCTTCCGGGCCTCTGGGATTATTGACTTACATTTTTTTTGACTTGACAGGGTGAAGATGTATTCCTACAAACAGTCTGTTTTTCAGTTTCACTACAATATTCAATCAATTGCATGAGATTTTTAACACTTTATTGTAAAACAGGCTTTGTGTTAGATGATTTTGCCCAACTGTAGGCTGATGTAAGTTTCCTGAGCACATTCAAGGAAGTCTACGCTAAGAATAGATTAGGTGTATTCAAAGCAAATTCAACTTAACAATATTTTCATCTTACCACAGGGTTATAGGGACATGACCCCATCATGAGTCGAAGACTATCTCTAACTATATATCAAATGGAAAAAGCTTAATTTGGGGGGGATTTTTTTGGTTTTGTTTTTTTGAGACACAACCATTAGCTAATGAGACCAGGTGGTTATATTTGGGCCTGCCACTTGGGGCACGTGGGGAGCTTAAACACTGAGCACAGCCATGCCAATCACTCAGTAGCAGTGTAACTTGGTGGATCAGGCTTGGCAGCTGCTGTCCTTTGCTCCACGCTGCATCAGGGGATTCCCTGCCAGTGTTTCAAGGGAGATGGAGAACCATTTGCTGGCCAAGAGAGAGGTAAGTGCTAGCTATGGGTGTAAGGGGAGGGGAGAGGGGTGGAGACACTCCTTTTATTTCTTTCAGGTCCCAGAACATCAAATCTTGTTAAGACAGGATTTCTGGCCTCAAGAAACTTCCCACTTTATCTTATTTTTCTTATTTATTTATAGAGTTATTTATTCATTTTGATACTGGGAATTGAACCTGATCCTTAATCCCAAAAGTTAAACAGACTTAGCCAACTTGATTTCCAGTGATATTGAGCATCGGAAATCACATGGATTGAGTTGCTAATGATTCCCTTCAGAATAATTTTATTTCTAACTTTTTAACTCTCCTTATACCCTGTGAACATGCAACAACTTGATTGATTTGAAAATGACTACTCTCTTTTTCTTCATCTTTCTCAGAGCTACAGATGGGCAGTATAATAGACACACACTATGGGAAAATACCTTAAAAGATGGAGGGAAGCATCAGGGGCAGCGGCTTGTTAGCCTTGATGGTCACTAGGGGTATGCCACTTAGCCAGAGGTATGAACTGAAGAAAGGAAGAAACAGGAACGTCTCAAAGCGCAATTCTTTTTCTCAGCTTATGCTACTGAACTCCCCAAATTCCTGTCTTGAATCCTTTATCCTCCTTCCTTCTCCATCTGCTGAAGGACTGGATGACTCATAAGCATTCATCCAACAACTGAATGATGGAAGGAGGAAGTCATATCCTCTTCTGGGACTGACTCTTTAGGATAGGTCACAAGCATGGCCAGTAGGTACAGGGATTCTATGAAGCAGCACATCCAAAAGAAGATAAAAGAAAGGAAAAGGAAACAGGTAGACAGAGGGTGAGAAGACTTACCATATGCCACTTTTGTGCCAAAGGTTTGTGTGCAAGAGGACAGGGCAATGCCAATTTGAAGGGGTATTTTTATTAAAAATTATAGGGATGCCAGATGTAGTGGTACACTCAGGAGACTGAAGCAGGAGGACTGCAAGTTTGGAACCAGCCTCAGAAACTCAGCAGTCAGGAATTTAGTGAGACCCTGTCTCAAATACAAAGAACTGGGAACATAGCTCAGTGGTAGAGTCCTTGCCTAGGATGTATATAACTCTGGGTTCAATAACCAGTATTGGGAAGGGGAAAAAAAAATATATATATATATATAGCTTTAAAAAATATTTAACTAAATTCAAAAGGGTTGGGGATGTAGCTTAGTGGCAAAGCGCCTCTGAGTTCAATCCCCAGTACCAATAAATAAACAAATATTAGCGAAGCTTTGAAAAATAGAGATTATAATTTTATGTTCACACTGTCATCTAAAACATAAATAAATGAAAGAGCTAACACCAAAAAATGCTTAAATAAGTAAATTGTCCAAAAGTTCCAATCAAAAATGTATTAACTGGTTGGTTGTATGGCTCAATGTTAAATTACATGCTAAGTAAGTGCTAGGCCCTAAGTTTAGCCCCAGCACCAAAAAGAAAAAGAAAAAAATAATAATCTCTAAATTGAAAAATAAACCTCATACCTATAGGAATAAGACTGGATAGTGTTATTAAAAATACGTATCGGGGCTGGGAATATGGCTCAAGCGGTAATGCACTCGCCTGGCATGCATGGGGTGCTGGGTTCAATCCTCAGCACCACATAAAAATAAAATAAAGATGTTGTGTCCACCGAAAACTGAAAAATAAATATTAAAAAATTCTTTCTTCTCTCTCTCTTTAAAAAAAAATATCCACATGTTTCTGAGCAGTCAGTATCTGCTATAGTTTAGATATTTGTCCCCCAAAAGCTCAGGTGTGAGACAATGCAAGAAAGCTTAGAGATGAAATGATTGGGTTATGAGAGCCTAAACCTAATCCACGCATTAATCCACTGATAGGGATTAACTGGGTGGTAACTGCAGGCAAGTAGAGTGTGGCTGAAGGAGGTGGGTCATTGGAGGCATGCCTTTGGGTGTATATTTTGTCAGTGGTGAGGGGAGTCCCTCCCTACCCTCATTGGTTGTCTATGGTCTGAGACCTCTGAAACCATGAGCCTTCAAATAAACTTTTCCTCCTCTAATTGTTCTTGTCAGGTCTTTTGGTCACAGAAGTGAAAAACTGACTAAAACAGTATCTTAAGCCAGAATCACAACTCTATGTCCACCAACTTAAGGCCTTGGCAAGTCACCTGTCTCTAGAGTTGCAGTTTTCACATCTTTAAGATGGGATAATAATTATACCTGACTCCTAGAATTTTTGTGAAGATTAAACAAGACATTTGGAAGAGCACTGAGCATAATCCAAGTGTTCCATAAACAGTATTTTGTATATAGATTTATTTATAGTTATATATGAATACCAAAGCAAAAATTATTTTTTTTAAATTTTTTTATTCTTGGTTGTTCAAAACATTACATAGTTCTTGATATATCATATTTCACACTTTGATCCAAAGCAAAAATTCTAAGAGAAAGACTTGCTAGAAATCTCATACTTACTCTGCAAGGTATTGTTATAGTGTGCATCACATTACCTGATGCTTGTGTTTATTATAAACATCTTACTTTTATTTCACTCAGTTTAACCTTTAAATTTTAATCATTTATTCAATAACTTAAAAATAAAATCAATTTAATCATAAAAAATTAATACTTTAAATGCTAGAAATTTAAATAAAATTAAATTTGCCTCACTTACACAACTATTTACGTTTCAATTCCAGGGAGATCTATAATATTTATGTCAATGATTTCTGCTTTTTAATTCCTATATTGTGATTGGTGAGGGCAAAGAGCCCGCAAAAATTGTCATTTGAGGAAGCTGTGATGATGTTTTACATCTTTCCTTGCATTTCTTTCCCTTTCCCATACCTTAAAAAAGAGAGAGAGAGAGAGATCACACTGGTATAAATTTGAGGAAAGTCTGTAAGAAAATTTATTTAACACTAAATCTGGTTTAGTGGAAATCCCTCTAATAAGAAATGAGGTCATGTCTCTTGCAATGAATCATGTCATTACATTTATTTTCTTTTCTAGATGCCTTTCTTCCTTCATTTGTCATTTCCAAGTCTTTATTCTTGTTGATTATTCAATTAAATGAAATCACTGAGGTTTTTTTTTTGAAGGCATAAAACTGAAGCTAATACAATAATGGTTTCCTATCCAGTTTTTAAAAAGCAAATATCAAGTTTGTTTTATTCCAAGTTCTCCACTTTCTATTTGTGCTTTGATTTAATGTGCATCTTCTCTCCTTTACCAGGGCTTTCTACTCCTCTTTCTCCCCCTCCCCGCCCCCCCTTTTTTAGTACTGGGGAATGAACCCAAGGTCCCTTTACCACTGAACCACATCCCCAGTCCTTTTTATTTTATTTTTTTATTTGTTCTAATCAGTTATACATGACAGCAGAATGCTCTTCGATTCATTGTACACAAATGGAGCACAATTTTTCACTTCTCTGGCTGTACACGAATAGAGGCACACCATTCATGCAATCATACGTGTACCTAGGGTAATGATGTCAGTCTCATTCCAACATCTGTCCTACACCCATGCTCCCTTCTGTCCCCACTCTTTGCCCAATCCAAAGTTCCTCCACTTATCCCATTCCCCCCACCATTATGGATTAGCACGCACTTATCAGAGAAAACATTTGGCCTTTGGTTTTTTGGGATTGGCTTACTTCACTTAGCATGGTATTCTCCAACTCCATTCATTTCAGTCCTTTTTTATTTTGAGACAGGGTCTGGCCAAGTTGCTGAGGCTGTCCTCAAACTTGTAATCCTCCAAATTCTCCTGTCTCAGCCTCCAGAATCGCTGCAATTAGAGTTGTGTGAGTTAAAAAAGCCTGGTGTGAGCTTTGATGCTGAAAACAAAAGAGAAAAAAAATTATTCTTTATTATAATGTTCCTCTACCTAGAAAACTTTAGGATGAAAGAAAATCCTCTGCCCCACTAGTTTGATTGATCTTCACACATTTCTTTACTGTTTTAATTTTCCTTTACTCCAAAATTACACTCCAAAACATTTTATACAACTACACTTAAATAACTCCCATATATTTTCAAAAATAATTTGAGAACTGCAATCACCTCAAGGGCTCTTTAAAGCATCTCTCCCTTCCAAGACCTTGAGATATGATCCAATACATAGGATATATTACTATTTCAATCCTAGAATTAGAATGAGTATCTTAACAGTGGAAACAAACTTGGAAAGCTATTTAGCCTAGAGTCTTCATTTTACACATGTGGAAACTAAGACCCTGAAAGGCTGTGATGGATACAGACATAATTTTTTAATATGTAGTTACTTTTGCCCAAATTTTACAAAAGACAGATGGATTATCCGTAGGTTCTAATTAAAGGACTCTTGGAGATGAAGCTAAGCCGTTTTTCTAAGCTGGTCCTTATCAATTCCCTTAATATCATTCATTTTAATTTAAAGGAAACCTTTCTGTCAATAATTTTATTTCCTTGAAGACGATTTTGTTTGTAAATAGCACTTTATACTGTTCTTCAAATCTGTGATCTCCAAAAAGTTAACATCCCACTAGGATGTTCCAATCATCGAAAGGACCCCGGGCCGAAGGACGGGACGGCGCAGGCCCCGCGCCCGACACCCGTTTAGATCCGGGGAAGGGAGACTGCAGGGACTGAGGCGGCCGCGACCAGACAATGTCCTGCATTCACCAAGGCCTCGGCCAATCAGAGGCCGGCACCTCCCGGCCCCGCGCGGCGCCACCGGCCACGGCCTGGCCGAGGAGAGCTTGGCCTTCGGCGGCCATCTGCGGCCATCCCGGACAGGGGCGCCACGCGGGGAGGGCTTGGGCGGCGGGCGCCACGGCGTCCCCTCGGGGCAGGGGTCGCGCACCGAGGGCAGGACACATTGCCCCCTCCAGCTTGAACTCGGCGCTGTCCCTTTAAGACTATCCTCCTCCCGGGGCCGAGCAGAGCGTTGGCGGCCTCGCCGCAGGGGGCCGCGACATCCGGGCTACCAGGCTAGGGACAGCGATGGCCCTACGGTCAGCGCCTAGCGCCCGCGAAACACCCGGCTCGCCACGGTTGAAGGGGCGCCTCCAGCCTAAAGAGGCCCTTCAGGGCACACGAGTCCCCAGCGTGGGGCTGGCCAGCTGCCGTCACCACCCACCCCGGTTTCGCGGACGCTTAGGCCGGGTGGCCAGAACCGGCACGCGGGTCACGGACCTCAACCCGCGGCGCTGCGCAGCGCGCGCCCGCTTCAGGGCCGCCCCTCCTCCTGCGCGTGCCCGGGGGGGCGGGACGCCGTGGAGACAGCCAATCAGCAAAGGGCATCCAGGGACCGCCCCTAAAGTCCTCGCCGGGGGCGGTGCGGGAGGGAGAACTTCGTGGGGGGCAAAGCGGCAGGAGGCCGGTGGGAGAAGCCGGATCGCTGTGGAGTTGTGCAGTTAGGCGCGCAGCCGGCCAGCTCGGACTCGGAAGCTATGGGAGAGTGAAAGGGACGTGAACCGCGGGGAGGGTGACTGGCCGCGCGTGAGAACCCGCGCGGGTGAGCGGGCGGAGGCGGGAGTCGCCGGGAGCAGGTGGTGCGGCCGGAGGGGGCGGGGAGAGGGCGAGAAGTGGGGGGCGCTGGCACGTCCTGGAGATAGGAAAACCGGGAGTGGATGTGCTGAGTTAATAAGCGAACCGCCAGAAGCTGTCAAAGCTTATTTATGCAGGACAAAGAATTTAGAGAAGTTGTGTGGAGTAAGATTTTCCTCCTTTCAGTGTTTTTTTTTTTTAATGGCTGCATATTTTTAATAAGATATTTATTAAAGTTGAAAGTTGGTCACTTAATATTTTATAATAAGAGTTAGGAGAACGGAACAAAGGGCGTTTAAAAAACAAATTTCTGTAATCCACAGATATTTATACGAAATGATGTTTCCAGACATTTAGGTACACTGAGTTAATTTGTAGGTACCATAGCGGGTGTACTGGCTGGAAGATTACTGTCTACCCCTCTTCCAAAATCTCATTTCCCCCACCTGCAGAATAAAAGCCATGAAATTCCCTACCTATCCCACAGCGCATTTTGAGACTCCGTGTATATTTAAAGAAAATATAAGCACTGCCCCGCTGTATGTGATCCCAGGGGAGGTATCTGACAGCCCCCCCCCCCACCACCACACACACACACACCTTTTCCTCTGTGCATGCTCGGGGTAGTCTCGTCCATTTCCAGAGAGTCATCTTGCTTCAGCACCTCTGTCCTGAAGTCCAGGCATATTTAACTTGGATGCCACAGAAATTTCAAAATCTACGCGTTCTAAACGGAGTTCCGCACCTTCTCTCCAAACCTGGCGTTTTTCCCATCTCAGCAATGGCATCACTATAGCCCGGTCATCAGCCCCCCTCCCATCTCTTTAAGCCCACAGATCCGTTTTATGTTCGCACTTCTTGTCTGGTTGTCGCTCCTGCCAAGCTCTGACTACCCTAGTGCTAGCCACCCGTCTACCACCTGGATTACCACAGTTACCTGTTCATTGCTCTCTCCGCCTCCACATTTCCCCTCCCCCATCCCGACGGTGCAACTAGATAGATGCCTTATTTGATTTTAATCCATCGTGTTGCATTAGTTTCAGATCTTTTAAGGGCTCCCTTTTGCTCTCAGGAAAAGACCTTTCTCTTAAGGCTCCTCTAATGCTGTTTCCGCTTTCGTCTTTGGCTGTGTCTTTTACCTTGGCCACTCCTCCCTCCCGTCCCCGTGTTCCAGTCAACCTGAACTGCTTTCAGTTCTCTCTTCGTGAGAGTTCTCAAGCTGCTACCACTTCCCAGTCGCCTTAACCGATGTGCTGGCTCCCTTTCTTTCTCGAACCTCCTTCCCCACACTGAGGGTTTGTGCGCCCAAAGCAACCCCCTCTACTGTGCACCCATATGTCTGTACCGCGGTGGCCTGTGGTCCTGCCTGGTGGCTATGTCCCATGCCAGCCTGTGGGGCAGGACCTGCATGGAGCTCACCATTGTTACCATTCCTAGGATGGTCCTGGCAATACTTGATGGGAAACCAGCAACCCTTGTAGAATAATAGTGATGGAGACCAAATATAAGGAGTAGCCTTAGACATCTGATAGATACATTTTATTAATGTTGTTTTGTTTTTGTTTTGAATGTCTCCTCTCTTAGTTACAAGTTTCTTTGTGTGGTTTTTTTTTAAAGATACAAGTTTTAAATTAATTTGAAGTGTTTGTCACAATCAAGTGTTAATTTCTTAGCATTAATAGCATATGTTTTGTGAAATGAAATTCTGGAACGGTTGCTGACTGTTCAATGCACATAGGCAGAAATCTACATTTTAAGCTTGTACTCTGGAACTTTTAACACTGAGTTGAAACCAATGCCCCAATAATGACTGAAGAAAGGAGTGGAAGAGAACAGTGCTAAACTGAGAATTCTGGTTCCTTGTTGATTATATTCATTTTATAGACAATATGTTAAGAAATTGCCCTGGCTCTGGGGGATTGGGGGGCTCCCTCTCTCTCCCTCCCTCCCCCCCCCCTCATTTAAATCTTGGTACTCTTAGTATTTTTCCTTTGTTTATATGAGATGTCATTGTAACCAGTTGAAATTCTCATTTTTCTGTGCTCACTCCCAGCTAGCCATGCTAACATATGTACCTTTCGATCTCTAATATTTTTAAACTTGGCCCTGCTATACACTTTTCAATAAAGTTAAACAAGTATTCTTTGTTAAGCAATGTAATATTTAGAAGGGAGGATAGGGGAATAAATCTTAACTACTGCAAATTGTTTCCCTTCAGCCTTACTCTGAAGGAGATCCTTGTTTGTTTCCTCAGGGCTGTACAACTAGTTTGTAGATTTTGTTACACTTTGGTGGGAGGGAGCAGAAATTAGTTTTTTTAAAAAAGAAGGGAGGAGCACAGAATAAATGAGATACAAAAATCAAGCAACAATGTACTTTGAGCTAGAAAAAGATAAATTAATTTGTTTCTATGCTTTTGTGCTATAATTAATATGATTTATATGTCCCCATTTGTTTAATGAAAACAATATTTAAAGCAGAAAAACTGTTCATTATGCTGTTCACTGTTTCTACAGAAAAATATTCCCTAAGTATGTATCTTATCTGTTTACAGGACATGCCAAGTGACTTATAAACAAACGATAAGACAAAAATAAATGCAGGAGAAATGGCTTCTCTTTTGGATGTAGGATTATATGATTTTGAGTTTAGAAAACGTTTTAGACATTCTAATTTGGTAAAAGTTCTACAAGTACAGTTTACTTACATTTTAGGTAACTGCATTTTCAACTCTTTAAAACCTCTTTTAAAATGTTATTTCCTGGCAGGGGAGGTGGTGTATTGGTTAGAGTTACTGGCCAAATTATATTTGTATGAGTATATGAATACAACAAATCCTATCAATTATATGCAACTGTATTTTTAAAAAGTGGAAAGAAAAAAATGAAAAAATAAAATGTTATTTCTAAACTTGACAGAATGGTTAAGGATTTTTAAAAGTGTTTGCAGTCAGACTTTTTAAAAGATACCTAATTTTAACAATGCAGGTACACTGGAAATACATTTTAGCTTTATTGAAATACACCATACCTTATTAGCTGACTACTTGAAAGAAATGTATATTTGAGATAAGGTCTAAGATGATGATTTTTAACAGAGATTTCAAGTTAATTGGGCATTGAAAATAATAGTAGAGCTATGCAGAGTAATAACTAGAGCATAAGAGAGTGGGAAGAAAGAGGGAAGTGGAACTAAAAGACTCAGGTATAAATCAGCTTTATACTTTCTACATGCTATGTCTGAGATGTAGTTTCCACATGTATAAATAGGGCAACTTTTGCAATCTCCACTGCCTCACAGTGCTGATATTAGCATCTAATGAAGACAACATATCTTGTAAACCTTAAAACTCTGGACAAATAGTTACTGATAGTGTTATATACATTCCCTTTTGGACTGGGAGACATTTGGTTTTCATGGAAACAATAAAAATTATGGGTGTGTGTCTATTTATATATATAGATAGTTATTGCATAATGATGTTTCAGTCAACAACATACCACATACACAATGGTGGCCCCATAAGATTATATTACAAGTGATGTTCTAGCCACCTTAGTTCATATGAGCACTCACTATGAAGTCTGAACACTGACAAACTCATCTAACAATGTATTTTTCAGAATGTATCAATCATCAAGTGATTTATGAATGTATATGTCACATTTAATACAAGCAGTATGAAAAATATTCAAAGGAGGAAATTAATTACCTTTTCACAAACTTCAGTTCTCTAAAGGGGACTCATGTGTTCTTGCATTTGCTTATGGATGATAACTGATACTAGAAACAATTCAGGTGTTCCGTAAAAAAAAAAAAAAAATCATTGCAGTAATTTTTGTTACAAAATCTACAGTCTAGATTTTTGTTGTGCTTTAAGTATTGTACAAGAGCAAGGGAATATTTGTGTTGGGGGGAGGAAACTAATTGAATAAACAAAAATAAAGCAAATATTAAATGAATATTTAATAAATATTTATTTGCTGCTATTGGCCCACAGTAAACTTAAAGGATAGATGTGTAGCAAAATGGCAATAAAGGTAATTCTTCTATTTTCCTTGACATCTTCCTACAAGTTGGAAATATTTGGCCAGCAGTTAATTATCCTAAGAGGTTTGGCTGAGAACTTATGTGCAGAATGCTATGGTGTGCTCTGTATGGGTGGTAAAATAAATATAAGATTTTTTTCTCAAGGAATCTACTCTAAATTTGTGGAAAACAAAACCTAAGCCCTAACACATTTGTAAGTGATCTTTGATTCTTTGCAGTTGCTTTTTTTTCCCTGTTGCTTCTCTTTGCAGCCTTCTGACAAACCCTACCAGCAAGCAGTAGAGAGAAGCTTACACCCAAGCCCATCATTCTTACCTTCTGGCATTCCACCATTACATTCTCATTCTTTTGGATCCTTTAGTTTTCCATTTTCTAAAGTTGTCCCTTAAATGCAAATCTCTATAGGAAGGGTATAGAAGCTGACACCTAAATTCTTTTACCTGCTCAGCAGAGATTGTTATTACCCCATGCTGACAGCAAGAAAAGGACCAAGATGGAGCAAAGGTGGAGATGCAGAAAGCTCAATGAAGAAGTGAGGTGGCCTGAAGATGCTCTGATGCTCTCTCTTGGGAATAGTATCTCTAGCCCAGTTTCTGTGCCATGTGCCGCTATGGCATCATGCCGTAGGGCTTCTGCTGTCGGTGGATTGACAGCATAGTAAATAATGGTTAAGTTGTTGCCTTCCAGGGTCTGTTCCGCCAATCCTGCCCATATTCCTAGCCTGTGGTAGAGTTCAGGTGAATTCAGAACTAATTTGTTGGTAAATATGGGTATTAGAAGGAAAAGTAGCCTGAAAATCAGAAGACTTGAGTCCTCTGTGACCTCGAGTCATTCACACCTTCAACAGACTTCAGTTTCCATGTTTGTACAAGGAGGAGGTGGATGATACTCTTCTCTGGGTTTCTTCCTTTACCTTCTAACTCCCTGCTCTCCATAAGTGTGACTCTTGTTCACTGTAATTAAGTCTTTACCACAGGTGGCCAAAAACCCCATGGCCTTCAAACATGGAAAATAACCCAAATGTTCATCAATAGATGAATGGATAAACAAAATGTGCTGTGCTCATACAATGAAATAGTATTCAGCCTTTAAAAGGAATGAGGTTCTGACATATGCTACAACATGGATGAAACTTTAGGGCATTTTGTAAAGTGAAGCAAGACAGACACTGTATTATCCCACTTGTATGAAGTACCTGAATGGGCAAAATCCAGAGAATGAAGATAGAATAAAGATTACCAGGAGTGGAGGACGAGAGAATGGGGATTTGGTATTGAATGAATAGAGGGTTTTATTTGAAGATGATGAAGTTCTGGAAATGGATAGGGGTGACAGTTGCACAACAATGTAAATATAATATTAAAGCCACCGACCTGGACACTTAACATAGCTAATGTGTCAAATATTGTATTATGCATACTTTATTGCAATAAAAATGTAAATAAGCCAGGCGCAGTGGCACATATCTGCGATCCCAGCAACTCAGGAGGCTGAGGCAGGAGGATAGTAAGTTCAAAGCCATCACCAGCAACTTAGTGAGGCCCTAAGCAACTTAGCAAGACCCTTAAAATAAAAATTAAAAAAAATAAAATTAAAACTAAAAATTAAAAAAAAAAAAATAAAGGCCAGGAGCTGAGAATGTGGCTCAGTTGTTAAGTGACCCTGGGTCCCTGGTACAGAAAAGAAAAGAGAAGATATTAAACAAACAAAGCTGGAAGCCCACAGTGGGATCCCTGCCATTTTGTGTGATCTGCATAATGCTTTCCATCTGATTTTCTGGGGAGCTTTTTGAAATTCACCTGGCCCCAGACTCTACCTGTAAGACAAGACCCCTCCATAGTGCTCTCCAGGGAATGCTCCTCATCTTCCCTCCAATACACATTCCTGGACCTGGTCCCCCAGCTCTCCTCAAGCAAAGCTCTGCTATGGCCCTCTGTCACCATCCAGGAGCTGTCATTCTAGTGCCAAGGATCCTCTTCTCCCACTTTATTGGGGACATCACCTGGAAGTGCCCCATTGCTGAAGAACATCTATG